CTGACCGCCAGAGGCTATCGCTTTGCTGACAACATTTGCTAAAGTATAGCAATAATACGAACTTTTTCGCTATAGGAACTGGGTTTGGAGACGCATTATTTCTGATCGAAATATTTTTTAATGATTGTAATAAACAGTGTGAAATAAATGACACACACTTTCTATGTAAATGTATTTGGTGTCCATATCCATATCCATATCCCTTTTTTGCGCATTACAATGCGAGTTGTTTCTTGTTGCACTTTTCAATTTGAGACATTTTTGGCGGAAAATTTTTTGAAGAAGAAATTATATATCCTTCCGCGTAGTTCACAATAAACTGACTTTGGTTCAAAGCTATATTTTGTGTATATGCAAAAAAAGGTTAACCGTCAGAGGCTTTCGGCTTCCTGCCGAATATTTGCTCAAGTATTTGTGTTTTCAACTGAATGTGTTTCTGTACTCACTCAGAACGGAATTAATACGATTCACATATACCAATGGTGATCTGTCAAATTACCATCATTACTATTGGCGAGAGTGGCGATTTTGTATGTATTGTATCTGCTCTGCTGTGCGATATTACTATGTAACAAAGTGGTATTGGTTGTAATATGACCATACTACTACCGATACATTTTTGTGACATAGTAATATCGCGCAGCAGAGCAGATACAATACATACAAAATCGCCAATAGTAATGATGGTAATTTGACAGATCACCATTGGTATATGTGAATCGTACTAATTCCTTTCTGAGTGAGTATAGATGCACATACTATACGCCACGGCGGATGAAACATAACAGAAAATCTTTTCTCGCATCCGGTTAGTATCCTTTTGAAACACATAAAGACTTCAATGTATGACGTCAACTCAAAATAAATTCATACTCCAGATAAATAAATTTAAAACTAAAATTTATTTGATGTTATGATTTTTTACATTAACCCTTTGATGCACAATTTTTTGTTTTTGAATCATTTTGGTATATGTTTTGTGCCATGATAAATAGAGAAAGACCTCATACTTAGATTTTTGAAAAATTGCGCATTTGTCGAGAAAATCGGAAAAGAGTCAAAAGTGTCAAATCACTATAAAAGCTTGAAAAAATTAAATTTCATAAAACTAATGATGCAGAAAGTTAAATTGATGTGTTTTGTTCCTACGAGTCCTAATTTGACAATTGAAAAGAATGTACATGTATAAACCCACAAGATAAGAGAAGGAAAAATTTGGAATTCTGCTATAATTTCGCATTTTTTTACAGCAGTACATGAACAGAAAAAACTTTCTATTCGGCTAACCAATTGTAGCCTGTAAACTATCAAATGAAAGCTAGTTCAATTCCCTACATTTGTTTCCAAACAAGAATGCAAAAATATTCAGTGGTTTCATAGCTATAGCGTCTGGCGTATCTGGTTACTTTAGGGACCGATATGTGATAAAGGGTTAAATCATTGAAAATGCTATGTAGTTTAAAATATCACAACTCAGACGCAAAAATAGTTTTGACAACATAAATGTAATTCGATTGACAGCTCTGAAGTAATATCAATAAAACGAACTTTTTCCCTATCAGTTCCTATAGGTTTGGAGACGCTTCATTTCAAATCATCATCAAATCATCAGCATTTTTGTTAATGATTTCATTAAACACTGTGAGATAAATAAATAACGTACACTTTCCATGTGAATGTATTTGGTGTCCATATCCATATCCATATCCATATCCATATCCATATCCATATCCATATCCATTTGTTTGCGCATTACAATGCTTTATCGCATTTTTCGATTGAAACGTATCATGCAGCTGGCACGCATACAGTGAAAAGTTGAAATCACACTACAACAATATCTCAAACGTTACGTTTGTATTGTTGATTTGAGCGGCATATCGAAGCAGCGGACGTATTTCACAAGTATAACTTATATTGAGAGAGATTCTAGATAGAGAGAAGATGGTACTCAAGACGAAACGATGTGTATACTGTGTAAGCAATACGACACACTATCTTGCGTCGTTGTTGTTTTGGCTAGAGTCATAATTCGTGCTATATATACATCATCGATGGCATATATATGTTATAACATGACTCACTGACTCGGTTACTTACATTATCGCTGTTTTTCGGCCGTTCAGAATCTAAAGAAATTGACTGAAGAATGGCTTTACTTGAGTAATTGAAATAAGAAAAAAAAAGATCGAATAAATTTTATTGTTTAATCATATTCCGGAGTTTATTGACAAATCAACAATGAATATACATCAAGCAATACAGTATCAAAAATAAATCCAAAACTGTTTACTATCAGTCTAGTCGGTACAACATTTCATCTGCATCCATGCGAACTTTACACTGTAAATCCCTCCAAAAATGTATACTTATTTAACAAATAACATAAAAATCAAAGCGATAAAAATGAATAGAATCGAATAAATGATCATGGGATTGTCATCGTTTAAAGAGCGTAATTTAGAGTACAAATATTGATGCGCTTCGCAATCGCATGCTTTTAATCTTTCATTATTCTTAACATCCATTTTGTGTGCAAATATTTTCTTCCAATCCGAATCAATCCATAGATATTTTTTCTTTTCATTTTCATCGGCATTCTCGTACCAGTTATTCCATGTACGATATTTGCCTATGATATTCTCCAGAATGGCATCGATATCTGTATGATACACAGCCATTGGCGCTTTTTGTACAACATATTTTTTTAGTTCATCAACCGTTGGAATTTGCATTATTTTTTCATCCAAAGATTTGTCCATAATCATATCTTCACCGCTTTGTAAATAGTTGGAGTGCAATATGATTGAACTATTTGCACCTTGATCAATGAAATTGAATTTTTTATGTTCAAAAAAGTCGACTAGTAACTTGACCAAGGGAGAAATTACTGGATACGCACAGGTTGTCTTGCAAAATTGAACATTAGTCATCCTACAAGCGAATTCGTCAATTTTTTCAATGGTTTTTACATTATACCATTGATCAGTTTCGGCTAACCCGACATTTTCGGTCGAAATGTTTGCTGTTGATTTTTTAGATTTCGTTGTTTCAAATAAAATGATTAATTTTACAATGTCGTCAAATTTGATGTTTTCCA